ACTACTACTACTACTAATACTAATAATGGTAAGAAGAAGAAGAAGTGCTCGTGTCAGGGGCAGCCGGAAGACATGTTTCCACGCAGCCTACGCTCGAGGTCCACGTAGGCCGCCCTGAAGCGAAGAGCGGACCGGCTACGGTGCAGTCAACATTTTGCGCAAACGCTTTTCATGGCGCCGGCGGTTCCATGGTGGCGTCGTAGTAACAAGCGTCATGATTGCATATTATCATAAGCGTTCGTTTCACTCTTGCTGGTGCGGCCTGGCGCTACGGCTAGCATCATCTTGTCCATCATTGTGCTGCCACAGAAAACCAACAGCCACGATCCTGTGCAACTGATCCCTTTGCGGGGAGGAGCGAAAGAATTAACTTAGATCTCATACCATTGAGGCATGATCCTGAGGAGGAAGAGAACCGGCCGCCCCGCATCTTGGCCCAACCTGAGCCCAAGGGCTTGAAGTTCAGGAAAGGCGGGCACTGTTCAAGAAGCCTTTCGGGGGTCGTCGCATGTGGCTCGTTCGGGCTAGGCTTTGTCTAATTCCACCAGTGTTGTCCGAGCTGCGAAGCATGCAAGAAGTTTCCCTTCTTCGCTTTCGTCCGACGGTCTTCGACAGTCTCGCGAGGAGCATCTGTCCTAGCTTCGGCTCCTTACAGCACGGAACTTCATCCAGGTCATTTTGCAGCAGATCCCAGTGGCGTAAGCCCTGAACCCCGCGGTGCAGGGTCGCCTTAATGTCAGTAGAAGAGTTGACAGTTGGCCGTGGTTTCCTACGGAGGTCCATGAAGCCCTTGGCCCAAGACCCCACGACACAATACTTGAGTGCACCTTGCCCTGAGCCCCAAGCTGCTCTTTTGAGTTCACCAGGCCATGCGCCCTTGGACATGCAGAAGTTACAGGCGAGTGGTTTCCGTGCATCGGGGGGTGCGCCCTTTCATCATCGGAGTTCCGGGATTGCGCGTGGCTTTGCGCTGTTGGGGGCGTGCAGGCTAAAGCTGCCGCGCGGTTGACTTCCTGAAACTCGTTTGAATTTTCGGACTCGAGACTATGACCCCAGAAAGCCTCCGAATAATTTTCGTTTCCAGGCAACGCTGGATAAGGAAGACTACACGTACAGCGTCAAGGCCGGTTGGGCCGACTTTGCCGTGGGCTGGGTGCAATCAAAGAAGCCATCAGTCTCATTGACCTTACCGCTCGTATTGCTGTGATGGTCCCAGCTGCCGAACGTGACGAGGACGAGGATGAGGCTGGTGGTGATGGTTGGCGGTAGTGAAGCCAACAGTATGCTCATGATGAGACCCCGGAGCATGCATGCGGTAGTCCTGGCGGCGCTATGCGATGCTGCACATGTTGCAGATGGCTTATGATAGTTTTGGTCCGATTCAGCTGCGAATGAGGCGGACCTCGTGGGTACTATTACCGAGGCTATATTCCACCGCGCCTCTCGCCTCCTCTCCCCCTCCTGCTGCTGTTACTATGATGACTCCTGACACTGGTGATGGTAAGAGCAATCAGAATGCAAGGAGTCTCGGAATCCAGACCAGGATTACGGTAGGAACCGTTCCCAGCACGCAGTCACACTGACAGTCCCTCTCTCTCTTACCCCTCGAAGTCGCGCCATGAGAGGCTGAAAGCCCGGCTTCCATGTCAGGCACGGTGGCCTGGCAGGACGAGGCTCGAAGTTTGGGATCTAGGCTCCGATTGAAGTATTGGGGTTCTCCCCGATAGTTGCAGTGAGCCTCAGAGCTCTCGCCTCTTGCTTTTTCTGCACGAGAGCTTTGCTTCTGCAAGCCTTCGAAAAATGCGAGTTCGCTTCGTGCGGAGGTCAAGAAACTGCTGACCGTCATTGAGGATGTCTTGGGTGGGTTGCGAGATGTAGACGCCTGTTGCAGCACCCGGGCAGCCGCAGACTTTGCTTCTTCTGTAGGTCCATCTGGGAAAGAGCTGATGGAACCAGAGAGTACTCGGCATTGGGATGTTCCAAAGTGCTCGTGGAAGTCCGCGAGGACATCCGCATCGAAGAGGATCAGTTCAAAGCTGGGGGCGAGCCGATTGCACATATCCGCCAGCGCCCTAAGCTTTGAAGCTTCGTGGTACAGGAACCAATTGCACCAGCTTTCTCGCCGTTGTTCTCCCCGTCTTCGCCGTCGTCAACCTCAACCGGAGTCGTACATGTGAGCGCTTCAAACTCTGAAATGGCAGAGGTGGTACTGTCAACAATCCGAAATCTTCCCGCGGGACGCTCTTCGTGCTCACCAACATCCACTACAAGTCAGGCGGCCGTCTGCGAATTGGAAGTTTAGGGCCGTTTTAGGGTTCAATCCTTAGTTGCACAGCACGCCCGTGTAAACATTGGGACCTCGCCAGGCAAAGTGGCGCCCGTCTCGACCGTGGACCTTGCGGGCTCCGAGGATCCTGCGGCCGCCCGGCCTTTTTTGGACTTCCGCGGCTAGGAATCGGATTGCGATGCAGTGCGTTGCCTGGTGGTGATGCACTTTTCGGCAGTGCACTGCGCTGAGTTGCCCAATTGCCTGTATGCTGTTGCATGATCTCATCTCCTCAGTGCCCTTGAAGCTGAGGAGTATTAACCTAGGGAGGCAGGCAGCTCTGGTCGTTCGAAGCCCAACTCGAGGTCATGGTGAGCGGCTTTCTCCGCTTTGTCAATCGTGAAGGCCAGGACATCCCATCGCCTCGCCACATGCCCAATGCCCTGGGTCCCAAATACCTGAACCCTGAACACCAGAACAGGTACTCGAGTGGCTCCAAACTGTAGCCCGTTTTGTTCCCGTAGCAGTACGTAGGATGCACAGTAGCGGGTAGAAGTACAGTTCCCTCTGGACCCTCGCTGGGGTGCGTGATGCATCTGTGTGCACGTGAGTATTTAGCCATCTGGCGAACATTGCAGTCATCAGTTTATCATGTCAATACTGACCAGTTCTTAAGTAGGAAGACTTCTCACACATCTGCGCCTGAGCCGGACAGAGCCGGCTTCATTCTGTACGGGGTGGGCTTGGGTTTCAAAACAAAGCTATAGGGCCTAAGGCTTTTTAGGTACCGCGCGCCTGAACTGCGGAAAAGTTCCCAACCCCGATCACCAAGCCCATTCTGCGCAGAAGTGACAAAGCCCCACAGGCAGACCTGAGTGTGATCCAGCGATCGGCAAGACGCCAGCACAGCTCATGGCGAAGCAGCCTGAATGCATGAAGTGGGCCGATATAATCCGGCAGAGATGCGCATGAACAGAACACACCACACATTTGTACACTTAGATGCGTGCATAAACGTGCGGACTTATGCGCACAGGGGAAACCCATAGCAGCGTACGTATAAAGGTAGAGGGCCCTTTCTTCATGTACGTACCCAAGCTTCTGTGCGCAAGACCCCATAGCCATAATCTGCATGGTCGCTTAGAAATGCTTAGGGTGACTTAGCACATTGAAGGAGGTGGGTTGGTAAGTCCGTGAAGTGGACTTTCGAGTCATGTAAGTCGAAACATGGGAGTCGCCTACAGGTATGGCATGTTACATCAGCTGTTTGACTTCCGCGAGTTGGCTGCCGGTTGGCCCCGGCTGACTAAGTCCACCTCGCGGACTTGATAACTCGCTTGCTTCAGTGTGCTGAGTTACCTAAGCATCTATAGGCCCAAGCGACTTTTGGAACCCTGGCCTGGCTGAGGTATTTGGCAAACCTCAGCAGCTACGAGGAGATGTCCGGAAGCCTTTCATGGCACCTCCGCTGCTTTTTGCTTGCTCGTGCAGTGCTTTAAGGCATGACCGTCAAAGCTCTTTAGACTCATATATTTGGTTGGGTTTTCACAGCAGAAGTGAGCATTCATACTGGCTCTGAGCTGGCATTCTCACTGTCATGCACGCGACCGCAGATGACTTGAATGCTCATGACATGACATCGTGAGCGATGTTTGGTATAGAGTCTTCCAGTATAACGTTTTCCTATGCCGAAGGTTGTGCATCATGGGTTGCTGGTCGGAAGATTACACGGTATGTGGACATATGTGGACGCTAGGCTGACGTTCCTATCAACGTCAATCATTTGGCATAGCCTATACCTTTAGTTCTGTTGAGGATGTCTGTCTCCTTCTGGATCATCGCGCATGGCTTCAGTTTCATTGCATCGCGTAGTTCTCCTACTTTTTCGGTTGACAGAGCTTCCTGCAAATCCCCTCTCTTTGCGTCAACTTATCGATTTGGACTTCAGCTCTAGCGGCAGCAGAGCTGGATGCAAAGGGCTTGAACCTCAAACTCATTGCAAGTCCATAATACTGCCAAAACGGCCCTAAACCCGCAAACCCCAAACTGGTCATTTTTGACTGCTTTTCGCCGCTTCGAAGAGGCCAATCCCCCGGCACATCGGCCCCTAGGTGCTACGAGCTCAAGGACGTGCTGGAGGAATGTGATAAGACAAACCCACAGAAAGGCTGCGTGGACGTGACACTCACGAGCATCTTGGCGCGCAAACTTCGGTACATGACATGGATGTTGTTGTTTGGTCAGTTTCGCCAGTGTGCCTGCCGGGGAGGGGCCGCGCCGCCCCCTCGCATCCCCGGCTGAAGCCAAAAGTTCGGGCCAAGCCAAGCCGAGCCACATTTCAGCACTGTCCACCCTCTGGGGTTAGCACATTCGCTGCCCAAGGAGATTGCGTAACAGGACCCTGCCGTTCGAATTTGCAATCTGGACTCATCAATAGCCTGCCACCCAAAATGCGCACTGCACTGTGGCGAGCGCGTGGTAGGAGAGTGTCGTGGATTAGCCAATTCAATACTAGCACCAGTCCGATGGGACCTCTGTAGGAATGAATCCGGCTGACCCTGAAATGCACGAATGACAAAGCTCTGTGTGCGTGTGACATCAGTCTGGCGCATGTGCTTTCAACTCGAATGCCTCGCCTCACAGTCGAACCCCGCTCTGGAACGTCCAAAACAGCCTTGAGTGGTGCGAGTCGAGGCCTCTTTAAGTGCGCTGGGATGAGGGATAGATGCTACGTCTATACCAATCGCAGATTCCTAGGCATTCGAGTAGGCCCTGCTCGGAGGTGGCAAGACGGAGTTCCTGCGGCCCAACCTGAACAAGCCAGAGCTCTGGCACAGAAAGGACCGAACTTCTTCAAGCATCGCGGGTTCTCGTCTACAGAGGGCTGCGGAGAACTCGGTGCAGGACGAGCGAGGCGTGGACCTTCCCGGAGGCTTGAGGCGCCTTGGGCAGAGTCCATCCGGCGTGTTCTCAAAGTCTGCTTTCCTGTTTTGGCGGGTCACAGAAACAGACATTTCCGCCTGAGCAAATATACCGAGGTTCATCTGGACTGAACCTGAAACAGGGAGGGGGAAGCCGCAGAGCCTAGGCTGCAAGTTCGGAGTCACATCTGAGCTTGAGCAAATCGTATGCCCGAGTTGATCCATAACTCGCTGCGCTGTCCTTTCCCTCCGCTTCTCCTTCGGACGGCCAAGGGAGAAGGCGGTGTTCTATTCCTACGAGGAGATCTTTGAAATGAAGAGCCAAGGCGCACAGTGCACGGTTACCTCAAACCTGAAATCTCAAATGCGGATGGCGAATTCAACGTTCAACCGTAAATTGAAACCCTCGTCAGACTAGTACACAGCTGAGCTTCTCCCTGAAATCTCCGGGTTACGACCTCCAGTTGAAGTGTCTCATTTCTGCGTCGAGCCTGGGCCATCGTCTTCGTAGGAATCCGAGCTGCCAGCCTTCTCGTAGTCACCGACTACATGTATCAGCCTCGCTGTTCTTGCCATTCGCCTCTTGCTCATCTTGTCCTTGTTATTTTCTTACGTGGCTTCCATGTCGGTAGTTTCTCTCAGGTTCTTACAACTGCCTTCCGAAAGTGCCCGGGCCTGTTTGAGCCAACAGGAACTCCGCCGGGTCTCTCCGATCACCGGAAGGAGACAAACCCTCTTGGCGCCTGGGAGACATACTTGTCTGAGCACCGTGTTGGGTTTGGGGCTTGAAGGGTATCAGAACGCGCAGATCCTCGATAGCAACATCTCAAGTTTCTTGTAAACGTCCCCCCTCGTCACAGACCGCTTTCGTCGAATCCACAGCCGCTAGCGCTCTTCCCGGAGTAGTCGTCGTTCTTATTCGCGTGATGCGGATTCATCGCATTCAGGGTTTGTCAGCTCGGCTGCTGGACGTCAAGTACCTTACAATGTGGTCGAAGCAAGAAGCTCGTCGCTCACAATCCCAGGCCTCAGATTGCAAGAACTGTTTATAGGGGAAATGAGTTGTGCCCCGGTGGTCCATGCAGAGACCCATCCCAGGACTCAGAGGATGCCCACCACCAGAACTCCGAGCTTGCAAATTTCTGATACCAATGATTTAGACCCCGCCTCCATTGGAACCAATGCGCCGCCACTCTACTCTAAACCTCGCAGTGGACCTCTCAGACCCCTAAGGGCCTGATTGGTACTGGGCCGAGCGCCTCTGGGCGCGCTGCCTTAAGGCACGATGCCGAGATTGAGTTGCCATGCAGTGTCACAGGGTTGACATGCCGGCTTACCAGCATGCCCAACTGGAGACTTTCAGCCCGAACCCGGCAAACATCAGCAAGCCCTGGTATGCGATGGGGTCACCAAGGACAAGAAGACGGGAAAATGCAGGAAGAACAGCCCCGGTGTGGTCGACCACATCATCCTTTGTCACGTGGCGGCATCGCTCTTGAAATAAGCGGCTGGTGATACAGTTGCGCTGGAGTTAGCAGTCAACCCAATACCCAGCGACGGTGGTTTTGACTTGCCCTGGATTGATAATTTTCGCTCTGGCAGACTGAACGCCGCGTCTCGGTGGCCTCATGGTTAGATTGAGTTGTTGTTTCCCAAGCCTGTGTCTGTCCTACTCGTGCGAACCGCAGGGTCGGTAGAACCAGGCGAACTCGCTGGAAACAGGACCCGCCATAGCAGAGCAGTATGAGCGAACAGCAGGAGGCGGTCAAGTAATCGGGAGTCTTGACGAGGGCAGTTGGTCCTGCAGCGACACTAGATTTGATGATCGAGGTAATGGTTGTAGCAAAAGAGGCGGGCTGAACGCCCTTTTCCACCAGGTGGATCAGTTCATCCTCCACAGCCTTGCGTAATTCGGCCGTGCCCGTCCCTGCTGCCGAACACTGAGGCCCAAAGAGCTTCAAGCCCACTAAAGCCAATCCATCATGCCTGTCAGAAAGCACGAGCCACGGCAGAAATGGTATGTTTCTGTGTCGGTATGTGTGCATGTGTATGCAGTTTTGCACAGAAGCGCGAACGAATGTATGTGCATAGTCTTAAGAACCTTAAGGCGATCAGAGGCATTTACTTTTTTTGAGAAGTGACGTAACTCCTGTAGGTTCAAGAGTCAGGAGTCTTGGGCTTCCCGGCTGTTGGGGTGCTTGCTTCGGGTTTCGCGGATGCGCAGGGTCGCAAGGATTGGAGTGCAGTTCCTGCCGGCCTCCAGATCATGTTGCATCCGTTCCCATCTGCATGCGGTTAGCAAGGCGCCCCATTTTATGGAAGAGCTCCACGTATCATAAACAAGACATGCTACAGCCACGCGAAGGCTGAAGACCCTTGGAGTCTAGCTTTGGGCCCATCCGCTTGACAGCAGCAGCCCTTGATTCGTTTTGTATGCGCTCGCAAGAACACCGATCTTGAGCCGGTGAGACTTGTTCAACAGACGCATGCACGATGAGTGGTGAAACAAAGGGTAGACTCCTGTGATTGCTTGTGCCAGCCCGGCAAACGAGGTACTCGAAGATTGGCAGCAACCCGTCACCTCTGACAGAAGTACCGGGCAAGAAGTGGCCTGAGCTTCTTCCAAGTTGTCGCCGCACAGCCATGCAATGTGTGTCAAGAGATTGACAATGCTTGTTGGTTTCTTGTGGCTACCGAAGTCCCCAGTGTGAAGCCAATGCTTGATAGGCTCACCGTCATTCAGAAAGCGGACAAAAACTTCGGCAAATGGAAGGTTCAGGGCCAGAAAGGTGGCTTGGCTTCCACGGATCTGTGTGCGCATCTTAGACGAAGCTACGGGTTCTACGGCATTTTTTGGAGCATATGCGAGGCGATGTCATGTGAGCTTCCATGCCTCTTCGGGACTTTGTTTTTCACTGCTCTGTACGCAGTTTCTCTGCATGCGTCAAATGACAAGGCAAGCAGCCCGGCGCAGAGATCCCGGAGGCAGGGTCGGGGTGAAAGCGCACCTCTTGCAGGCGCACGCGCGCTCGCATGCACGGGATCTGCTTGTCGAGGGGCGCCTTCCCCTTTGCTCGATGCAATTTCGAGATGTCTCCGGATGTAGATCTCCATTTGCTTGCTTACAGTTATTTGGGTACGTGCCCACACTTATACGTGAAAAAGGCCACTAAACCCGAACCGCTTGGACCTTACGGCCACACTAGCTAAAACCTACAGTCAAACCGTCAGCCGCCAGGTCATCCAGTGGAAGGAGACGCGGAAGTGGTTCTTCGAATCTCTGAAGGGGGCCATGGATGATTGGGCCGCAATGACTCTGTTCCGCAAGTGGGATGGCTGGCAAGGTCGAACAGATTAATTAGGCAAGTTTTGTCAGGATTTCCGCATATCAACTGGGGATTATTTCTTCTCGCTTCCTATTTCCAAACATGGAAAGTGTCGTTGTGTTGCACAGCATGCTCGTATGTGCCATGGCGGCAGCATCCTGTTGTCTCGAACCTCCTGGCACGGTTTTTGTCGTAGTGACGATGCTGTCGGGCTGTGGGGATTCTTTTGCAGCGCACAGCTCCACAGCTCCCTATGTTCAGAATACTCTCAACTGTAAGCCAAATGCGCGAGAATCATGGCATACAATTCTGCAACTACTTGATTGTCAGGATGTTATAAACAAGAAATGCAAGGTGCACCAGTATGAGATGCCGTGCCGTAGTCGCTTTTTGTCAGTACTTACAAAATCCGCACCTTCGGAAGTGTGATGTGGTGCAGGACTTGCTTCTTGTGTGGTTTTGCATGCGTGCATGTGCGTTTCTATCAGGACATGTGCACGCAAGGTGGCAGAGTAAGTGTGCTGCGATTGATATTCACAACGCTGCGAAGCTGCGTGGGAAGATTTTCTTTGAGGTGTTGCAGCATGGGAGGATTGATTAGTGATGCCCGAGGCTCGCCAACGAGGAGTTTGACCGACACCTGAGATATTTCACTTCGGCCATCGGACCGGTCGTGGAAGAAGCCTTTTTCATCAATGAGGCTCTCAACGACATGAAAGGACGCTTCGAGGGCCTGGGAGCCTGAATCCGCCGGAGGTCAGGTGCTTTATAGCAAGGTGTTACGGTAATTTTTCGCATAGTGAAACGAAGGGAAACTACCTGAAGATGAGAGCAAGCTGGTAGAATTTCGGGCTTAGACCCAGCATCATCAGACCCACTGTCATGCGCAGGATACTTGGGCATCTGGGCCAAGGAGAGCCAGATGCAGCCGCTCGCCTGCCAATGTAGCAGTATTGTTCGTGGTAGTGGTGGTAGAAGTGTTAGTTGTAGTGGTAGTGGCAGCAGCAGTAGCAGCAGAGGTGGCAGTGGTAGTGTTAGTAGCAAGAGGTAGTACAGGCCCGCAAATTTTGACTCATTTGAGCGAGCACTAGGTCCCGAAGGCCCTAACTCTCAAAAGAACTCAGCCGTCGAAGGCCTGCTGGAACTATCTTGGACATCTGGCCGCCAGCAGATTTGGAGGCCTGCTGTCTCTGCAGGGCCTGGGCTCGTGATGTAGAACAGCCCCCAGCCAGAAAACTAGTGGCAAACGTGACGATGATGCTGCTCGTATTGAGCGCGAACAGCATCTTGTGCATCTAGCTTGCTTTTCCGTCGCATCATGATAGGTGTTTCGCGAGATCTTGCTTGTCGAGTCTAGGAGTGTGCACCGGAGTGCTGTTGAGCGCCGAGGGGGCGCCTTGACAACGGTCCAGCAGAAGAGGGATGCAGATGATGACTCCAAGCATCTCAATTCCCGCCGTTCCCTTTGTTCTCAGACTCAGTTCATTGCCAGGTGAAGGGCAAAATCAACCAGGTCGTCGACTACAGCCCAGGCAGCAAGATCAGCGAGCAGGCGCTGAGCGTGACTGTGTCCATTACACGGGAATCGGAATCGCGACGCTCACGGCATCACCGGTGACTAAGTGGTGAGGCTTCTGCCAGCCTTCAGCAGAACTTAGCCAGGGCATCTTCGAAGGGTTCTCGAGCATAGCAGCATAACCCAGTCAGGTTTTGTTTAAATAGGGACCAGGTCCAGGTCGCCTAGGGTTTTGCTTGCAACTCACAGCCTCCAGGGCTACAGCATCTACGACTTCATCAAGCCTCGCGGGGAAGAAAAAGGTGCCTTGTCTGCCAAGTCATATTTTTAAGAGTTCGGCATGTTTGAAGGTCTTGGGGACTCTGGACGCCGTTGCCGGACCGAAATCAAAGAATCCGCACAGTAGCTTTGCATCAATATTTCTGAAGAAAGATGTTGATAATATTGTGAATGGATCTTGTCTGAGATGAGAACCGGATCAAAGTATTGCGGCCTCAGATGCAGATGCGGTGCATTGCGGTGCCTAGAGTCAGTGAGTGCGACCAGCGTCCGACGGCACGACTTGTCACAGGAAGGGGCAGGAACCTAGGGTTAGGCCCTGCTTGGGCCCTCACTTGTGGCGGGATAGCTCCTCGTGCTAACGCCCTGCCCCCCACACATCAGCAGGACTGAACTTCCAAGCCCTGAGCCCTGGCCCTTCCACCTAAGCCTCCGCCCATGATTTAGGCTTTACCGGTTGACACCGGGCTTCAGAGCTTTTGGGATACCGTCATGCAGGCTTCGGAGTAGGTTTCTGCTTCAGGGTTGTGTCTCTACGAGTTCAGCTCTAGAGTTGACCTTTGCGGTCAGAGCCCAAGCCTTTCAGCTTGAAGCTCTGATCAGCGTATTTTACTATAGTAACTATAGTATGTGTATATGAATATGACTGGGCATATATGGTAAGTAGGTGTAGTTTTTTGTATATACTTTTAGCAGATCATGTCAGATTACGCTGCCGGGATCCTCTGCCCCAGCCCAAGAGCCGAAGGCTATGCGCAGCAGCTGGCTCATGGAGAGGCCTCTGCACGTAAACCTCATAAAACTATTCGTGAACGCAGTCAAATTAGCAATTCTACTAGCAAGAGTAAGAATTGTATAATGTGAGAAAAATTGGTACTGTTACTGATATTAGTAATAGTAGTGGTGTTGATTATATCAATGATACTAATGGTGTTATTGATATTAACGAACTTAACATTATTGACTAAGATAATAATGATGAGGGCAATAATGGTTTACACCATCTGATGAGACCCCAGAGTAAACAAACTTGCACGCGCAATGCCTCGTGGAACTCGACACATTCGTCGACTCCAGACCACAACCGTTAATAGTCAATTTATACTTGTGGTCGGTTTCGAAGCGTTCCGAAGCCGGATGGTGGTACCGTCAGATTGGGACGGCTGCGAAAGGCTTACATGCTATGACGGCTAGTCACAACAGTAAACGCTCTGAAGGCTTGACGGTTTGGGGCTCGGACACCTTAGAACAGCCATGATGTAAAAAAGTCCAGATCCGGCTTCTGCCCCCGCGGTTAGGTACAACTACCGCGCAAGCACAGACAGACAGAGAGTCAGAGAGACAGGGAGAGAGACAGACACAGAGACGAAGACGGAGACGGAAACAGAGAGTTGTCTCACGTTCCCTCACAACACCCTTAAATAGGGGTGAGCCAATCGGCTCGGGGGGCCTGACATGTCCCCTACGCAGAACAGAGCAGCACCGGACAGCACAGAACAGAGCAGAACTGAACGGAACGGAACCGAACGGAACGGAACGGAGACCGCCGCCATTTTGGCTCACGTCGGGCCCCGGCTTGAGCCACACGACCTAAACCTGCTTCGCAACACTATCGCGGTAGATCCTCGGTTCCACAATTCCGTGTGCCCTCCTCCGAACCGCGAATTGATAGGCACACTGTATGCCTCTTCCTTCGCAGATTTTTCGCTTCTCACTTCCTGAACCCGGAAACACTTTGGGTGGGTTTGAAGCCCAGGGGACCTGACACGTCTCGCATGCCTGGGAGAGAGAGCGAGAGAGACAGCGAGAGCATCCATATGACGTTTACTTGGCTCTCTGTCCGAACGGATGTCCACCCTTGACTCTACAGCGTGACCGGAAAGGAGGACAACACTGTGCATACTTGCTTCGCTCGCTGAGATATAGGGGAACCCATCAAGCATGTGTGTTGTTTCCTTTTCCCTACCCTGACGTCATGATGTTGCATCCATATCTTTTTCTTGTTCTTTCTTCCATTGATGGGGGAACCATATCTTTTTCCGAGCTCTGACTGTTGTTGCCCCTTAGAGCCTCTAAACAGGGGCGCGCCTCTCGGC